TATATATATATATATATATATATATATATATATATATATAAATAAGAAGGAAAATTGTGTAAACCCATCTCGCAACGTAAAAGTGATATGAGAAGAAAAATTTTAGACCCATTTTACAATGTAAACGCGTATGTATGTAGAACTATGTTTTTTCATGTGTTGTCCATGTTAAAGAAAAAATTGTATTTATTGACTAATATTATGGTCACATTTGGCACATATTTGTTTTATATTTGTTTCAAAATTGTGAAGTAGCAAAATTGAATTAACGGATTCATGTTTAGCGGTCAAAAATATGTCGGAAGTGACTATTTTCATTCATTGGAGAAAAATTGAAACAGTGATATTGCGCTACGTGCGCGCAACCAGTGTTTCTAATATTAGCTGTATTTCGAAAACGAATAATCATACCAAAACAAAAGGTAATTTAAAGTTAAAAGTTGATAGTTTTTCGTGATATTAGTGAAATTAAAAAAAAAATTTGCTGCCGATGCTACAATCTTACAGAAACCTTAAAAATGTCGTTTTTGCAACTTTAATGCCATTTTTCTTAAAATCATGACGATCTAGCCAAATTTTTACAACGAATTTATATTCAAAAAGCAAAAATGTATCGAAAATTACTATTCGCATTCATATAGTCAATAAAATTTGCAATTTATTGCCTAGTATTATCATGATCATTTTCTTCATTTTATAAGACAAGTCTTTTATAAAAAAGCAGGATAACTATGTAGTTTATCGATCTCTTCTTACGTCGTCCAAAATTCTTAGGATTATCAGATCATACTGGTCAGCAGGTAATTTGTCACATCGAATTTCTCCTGTTTTTTACATGTATTTTTATGTATATAATTCGAAAATAAACTCAAAATTTTTCATCTACAGTTTCTTTGTGACGCTCATCTAAGATTTAATATATCGCATATAAAACATTTTACATAATTCGCAATTCAATTTCATACTAACTTTTTTATACTGAAGTATGATCAATATTAAAAATATTTTCTATAATAAGTTCTTCCAATTTTCAATAAAACTTCCATAAAAACTTCTCAAACTAAACAATATATTTATCTATAACAATTTATTAAGATTAACGATTTTTCTCTTTCTAAGCGATTTCTCTCACAAGATATATTAAAAACTCATTTCTCTACAAGATATATTAAAAACTCATACGACCTGTCGTTTATTTTTAAAAGAGATATACATAAGCTAAAAATACAGTAGAATATCGCTACCATTTTTAATTAGGTAGGCCATATCTATATATAGGGTGTCCCAGAACAACCTCCAAAACTTTCGTGGAGGCATAGTATGGATTAAGATGAATATGAAAGTCCTATACTGTTTTGTGATATTTGCAATAATTATCGAGATATCAATTAAAGAAGATTTGTGAATAATCACGCGAAATATGGTAAATGAGCTATAATAGCGACGTCTGCCGTCGAGTGCTTGTACATTAAGTCAAAGTGAAAAAAGTTATGTACCTTTTTTCTAATAACTTTGTAGATTCTTAATTATTAATTCTTTATTTCTTAGTTAGAGGACATTAATATATTATCGCAAGCGATCATCCGCTAATTTTCTTTAATTAATAATTAAAAATCTATAAGATTATTATAAAAATGGTAGAGGATTTTTTAGTTCAGTTTGACCTAATGTATAAGTACACGATGGTAGATGTTGCCACTACAATTCATTTATCATATCATATGCGTAATCATTCATAAATCTTCTTTAATTAACATCTCGATAATTATTATGAATATCACAAAACAGTATACGACTTTTATGTTTACCTCAATTTGTACTGCCTCCACGAGCTTTGGAGGTTGTTCTGGGACGCCCTGTATATAGAAAAAATCAATTTTTTTGAAACTTAAAAATCACATCACTAGAAAATTATGAGTTGATAGAAAGAATCTCTTGTCATTTTTTAATTCAGTGTAAAAAAATATATAGATTATATAATTTTATCTATGTGACAAAAAGGTTTTTCTTTGCAGACCAGTATGTTATCGCTTTATTATAGAAAATATAATTTGTCCTTGATTATTTACACGAATACTTATATACATATTTCTCTTAAAAATACTGTTCAGATTATCTTACTAACAGCATCTGATGCGTATATTTGGAATGAAGAAAAATTATTTGATCGTAAGCCGATGGCTTGCGGTAATTCCGCGGATACCAAAGAGTCGTGGAAATGAATGCAATCGTGAACATAGAGCAAAAGTATGTGCTAGACGTAGAGAAAATATTTACAGTACTCGGCGTGTCGGCAACATTTAGATCGTACAGAAAACGTGATGAACATGAAGGTAGAGAATGAAAGAGTTACATGAACGATTCGTTTCTCCGATTCATATCTGATTCGGGCCATGCATGTGACAACGAACTAAAGGCGGATGTGTACACGATAATGAAAACGATAACGATAATACCTGTGCAAGAAGCGGCGTCTCTGTGCTGTCAGCGGTTTGGTAGAGCCGGCAATTTGCGCTTGCTCTGAAGAATACGTGCCCAAACGAAAAAAGATAAAGAAGACAAAGTAAATTGTCATTATAATGGGAATGACGTTGAAACTATATACGCAAAACGAAAATCATACTGTGTCCCAACTGTTAATATATAATATATATATACATATATAGAGTGTCCCAGCTCGATTTCACAATCTCTCGTGAAAACTTTCAACGGATTGAGATAAACAGAAATGTTTAATATTTTGCAAAAATCGCAATAATGATTGAGATATTAATTGTAAAAGATTTGTGAATAATCATCATATAGTAAATGAGTTTTAGTGACAATATGTGTCGTCGTGTGCTGGTACCAAATCAAATGCTGGTACTAAATCAAATTGAGCAAAAATATCCACTACCGTTTTGCAAATAACTACGTAGATTTTTCATTATTAATTAAAAAAATTGTCGTGCGAATTTGCACAATAATGCACCAGTCTTCTTTAATTAATAACTATAAATCTATTAGGTGTACAACTTTGCTTCCGCCGTTTTTTTTCCAAAATTCGAGGCTTCATTGTAAAAAACTGGTTATACATTTATGATTCAAAGTATTGTCCATCGTTGGCCACTACTTTCTCCCATCTTTCGGGCAGCGTACGAATCCCGCGTCGAAAAAATTGATCATCTTTTGAGGCGATCCACGAATCGATCCAATTTTTTATTTCTTCATAAGACCGGAAGTGCTGGTCAGCCAGACCGTGTGCCATTGATCGAAACAAGTAATAGTCAGAGGGAGCAACGTCTGGAGAATACGGCGGGTAGGGTAGGACTTCCCATTTCAACGTTTCCAAGTATATCTTGACCACCTTCGCAACATAGGGTCGAGCATTGTCATGCTCAAAATCACTTTATCGTGTCTCTCGTTGTACTGCGGCCGTTTGTCTTTCAATGCTCGGCTCAAACGCATCAATTGCGTTCGATACCGATCGCCTGTGATTGTTTCAGTCGGTTTTAACAGCTCATAATACACTACGCTGAGCTGGTCCCACTAAATACAGAGCATGACCTTGGAGCCGTGAATATTCGGTTTGGCCGTCGACGTGGAAGCATGGCCGGGAATTTCCCATGATTTTCTGCGCTTGGGGTTATCGTAATGAACCCATTTTTCGTCCCCAGTCACAATGCGATGCAGAAATCCCTTCCGTCTTTGGCTTTCAAGCAGCTGTTCACAAGCAAACAAACGCCGTTCAATTCTCGGCTTCAATTTATACGGCACCCAATTTCCTTGCTTCTGAATCATTCCCATGGCTTTGAGGCGTTTTAAAATGGCTTGTTGAGTCACTCCCAATGATCGTGCCAATTCTTCTTGATTTTGATACGAATCTTAATCAAGTAATGCTTCCAATTCTGCATCTTAGAAAACTTTCTCTTTTCTACCGCTATGCCGGTCTTCGACGTCAAAATCACTATTCTTGAAGCGTTGAAACCACTCACGACACGTTCTTTCACTAATAGCGGCCTCACTATAAGTATTTGAGAGCATTCAATGAGCCTCAGCCACAGATTTCTTTATATTGAAGCAGAAAATTAAAACCTCCCGCAAATGACGAGAATTTGGCTCGTAAATTGACATTTTCAATCGAGAATAACTTTATGATGCAGACACAAATCGACTAATGTTTCTATGGGGTTATGTTGACAGATGCCCAAGTTTATCGTATGACGTCTATGATCTATTTATTTCGACCACCACTTACCGCTAAAGCCATCTATAGGAAAACGGCGGAAACAAAGTTGTACACCTAATACGTGGTTATTTGAAAAATAATAAAGGATAATTTTTTATTCACACCTAATGTGCAAGCACAGGAGGGTAGACGTCGTTACTACAACTCATCCACCATACGATAAATTATTGTTCGCACTTTTTAAGAACAATGATTTATTCTGAATTTCCTTCACTTACACTTTTATAACTAATTTTACTCGGCGTTTGCAAACGTATTAATGAAAGTTCTGTCAGTGCGTACTGTTAGAGTTAACGTTCCTTCACACGACAAGGAACTGCATTTGAATCGTGTGAAAGATATACGCGATGGCGACATACCTGTCGAGGCTTGACTGGTGGTGCTGGACGAGTCTACGTATCGAGTGTCATCATTTATATGCCTTCTTTAATTAATATCTTGATAGTTATTGCGAATATAGCAAAACGATATAGAACTTTTATGTTTACCTCAATCCGTTGTACGAAAGACTCACGAAAGACTGTAAAATCGAGCTGGGACACCATGTATATATGTTCATAAAAAGTACAGAAATGACATCGAGACATGCACGAAGGCATTTCGCATAAATGATATATGTATGTAGAATATATGTACACGATAAATCTTTCGATTGAACTTGTATCGTGAGGTATGACTGTTAATGACGATGACAATGGATGATGATCGCGGATCACATCGACAAGCGGCGGTTCCCAGAACGGGAATCGATAATATTTTCATCGGGAGAAATTTAATTATTTATTTATTGAATATTGAACGGGAAAATCCCTTATATATACTTAAAATCTCTATGTTTCTCTTAATTTATCTCATTAATACATACAAAATTAATTAATACAAATGTTCAAATTGCACGCTCCTCAAATCGCTGCATGTCGAGATGCTCGCGAATTCGTAAGAAATAAAAGTTCTTCGATAGAAACCCCATCACGACTGAGAATATTTGATGTATAAGCAGAACGAATGAATAGTCACTAAATGGCGTAGGTTTGATCTCGCGGAAGCGGTTCGCGAACGAGACCGCCTGCAAAGCGAGCAAAGGAGAAATAGAATCGGTTTGCCTTGCCTACCATGCTGTTCACAACGTTTCAATATGCATAGGATACGGAAAGAAGCGAGAATGAAGGAAACTAAGTATGCGTGTTTAGTATGTCCGATAAATAAGTCGTCTCCTCAATCAATTTCTTTGGTTCCACAATTTTTGCAAATAAGTCACTCGGGATTACACGAATATTCCAATTCGTGGGAATCAGACAAATCACGACATGATTAACTGTAGTAAATAATATAAAATTTATTACTTAGGTGACAATATTACAAAAAAAGAACTCGCTTTGATCATATATTTTAAAAACGATAATTTGTCGATCGCACTTTTTAAGAACGATGATTTATTCTGAATTTCCTTCACTTACACTTTTATAATTAACTTTATTCGGCGTTTGCAAACATATTAACGAAAGTTCTGTCAGAGCGTACTGTTTAGGGTTAACGTTCCTTCGCACGACAAGGAACTGAATTTGAATCGTGCGAAAGATATACGCGATGGCGACATACCTGTCGAGGCTTGACCGGTGGTGCCGGACGAGTGGAGGGACCGAGGACTGCGGCTACCGTAGTTTGGGGTTGATGATGAAGTGAGGGTGGCTGCTGCCAAGGCAGCCCTGTGCGTCCCAATGTTCCCTGCAGTTGCACCTGCTGTACTTGCTGCTGCATTTGTTGCAGATGTTGCTGACTGCTGCTGCGCTCGACTACTGGCGTAACTCGAGGAAGCGTTGAACCGACTGAAGAAGTCTTCCGAACTGTCTGTGAAATTAGCTACTGATTACTCGGCCCTTACTCGACATTTCTTTTTTAACGCACGTCGCGGCGTACCGATTTGATATCGCGAAGAACGATCTTTAAAAAGAAAGAAAGAGATATATATATATATATTAAGAACAACTACATTACCTGACTTTACTGGCCATATCTCCAGCAAATACTTCAATACAGCGATTGGTTGTTGGAAATCCAGCGGAGGTCCGGCTTCTTCCGAGTGTAACATCAACACCGGGCCGAAACAGACGGCGAGGCTCGCCGGTGACATCTTATTGCACTGTGACACTACCATCGCCAGATGATCTAGCAAGTAGATCAACGTGCACTGTTGACAATCAATAAGAGAATTCGTAATTAGAATCTGAGAAATTAATAAAATTAAAAAAAAATGTCTATCTTCTTTGTATTGATTTCTTCTTTGTATCTTAATTGAAGCAATTACCTGGGAGAAAATGATTATATATAAATTATATTTCTACATAGGTATATATAAAAAGTGTGTCATCTAACGTTAGATTCTAAAATGTGTTGCTTTTAATGCTAGAGAAAAATATGTAAGGAATAAATCGCGCACGTGTATGATTGAAAAGGTTGACTATAATATTTATCCTCTTTTCAATTATACAATTTATTCCTTACCTTTTCTCCTTTAATATAAAAATCCGCAGAGATATTTTTTAATTTAACATTAACTCTCTAACATAACTCATAGGATCTAGTATGACTCATTCTATATGTAATTCTATATATTCAAAAAAATTCTATTGTACAAATACAATTAAAGTAAATACTTATATTTCAGGCTTATAATATCAATGTTTAATTGAAGGAAATTATTTTTTTCTTTCTGTTTATTTTTCCGCGTAAATACATATAATTATATATGTAATCACATAGAAGCAAAATCTATACAGGAGTCATATATAATTATATATAATTTATACACAATCATATGTATAATCAGGATTGGAAAGTAACGAGTTACTTGTAACGTCGTTACCGTTACAGTTACTTTTTTCGGTAACTATAACGGTAACGGCGTTACTTTTTTTGATCGGTAATTGTAACGTAGTTACATTTATTTAATAACGATTAATTCGTTACTCTAACAGTTATTTTTTTGTTTTAAATCTATTAGGGGCGCCGCACACGAATTGACATAACAGTAATGTAAGACGTACCGTAAGAATTGACCAATCATTTTGAGTATCGTCGAACCGTAAGGTCATCATTTTTGTGAATACTCGATTGTAATTGGTCCATTTTTACGGTACGTCTTACGTTACTGTCAATTCGTGTGCGGCGCTCCTTAAATTCGGTACATAAGCCAGTAGCAATAAGCAAAATGACCAATCATAGTCCATCTTTAATCTGTCAGATTGCAATCATGACTGTGATTGGTCACTTTGTTTATGTCTTAAGCCTATGTCTTGGGCCTTGTACATTGGACGTGATTAGCGACGAGCGATGAGCGATATCCAATGAGAGCTCTTATTTTTTCTTAAAGCAGAGTTATGATTGGATATCGCTCGTCGCATATCGCGTGTCGCGTCGTGCATCACGCTGATCTGTGAGACCGAGCGATTAGCGACGAGCGATGAGCGATATCCAATGAGAGCTCTTATTTTTTCTTAAAGCAGAGTTATGATTGGATATCGCTCATCGCTCGTCGCTAATCGCTCGGTCTCACAGATCAGCGTGATGCACGACGCGACACGCGATATGCGACGAGCGATATCCAATCAGATATATCTCAGATATACAGGGTGTCCCGTCACTACCGCATTATCTCTTAAGGACGGATTCCTGAAGTAATTTGAATAAGAAGATCTTAATACAAAAATGGCGAGGCTATAATACTTTTCAAATTATAAACGATTAAAGTTGACCAATTATACTGGCTACGTACGCGCGCTCAGGTACAGTATAACACACAATGATGCATGCACATGTCGTTCCTTTTCCAAATATTAATACGGAAGTTTTATACATACAACAATATATATAATAATAATCTGCCTTTTTTATCATTTAAACATATCGCAAATAATAACAATCTCGTCAAAATGTTTTATGAATAAAATATCACACAATACATTTATGAGAATCAGTAAGCTGTTACACATTTGACGTTTCTTTCAAGAATTTACAACTAATTTCATATCTTATGCAAATTCTTACTTATGTGCATACACCTGTACTATTGTGTGTTGTACCTGAGCGCGCGTACTTTAGGCAATATAATTGGTCAAATTTAATCGTTTATAATTTGCAAAGTATAATAGCCTCGACATTTTTGCATTAGGATTTTTTTCTTCAAATTACCTTAGGAATCCGTCCTTAAGAGATAATGCGGTAGTGGCGGGATACCTTGTATATCAGATATATCTATATCTCAATTTATTCTATCTCATATCTATATTCCACTTAAATCTCTCTCTCCTTTTCTTTCTCGTCCATTTTCCCTTATCAAACTCATAATTAATCTTATTTTAACATTTAAAAAAGTAACGAAAAAGTAACGATTCGTTACTTTTTAAATAGCAGTAACTGTAACAAGTTACTTTTCAAAATTTGTAACGAGTAACTATAACGAGTTACATTTTAGAGAAAATAACGGTAACGATAACGAGTTAGTTTTATAAAGTAAGGTTACCAATCCTGCATATATATATATATATATATATATATATATATATATATATATATATATATATATATAT